CTATATACACCTGCCCTTCTTCCTCCGTAATTTTGATCCTCCTACACACTTGCCATCTTTTTCCCTCCACCTGCCCCAGTGATAACAACTAATTTTGGGAGCATTTACAGTGTGTCTGACACTTTGAAACACTTCATAAACACCTCGTTTAACCTTCACAATGACTCCTGGAAGTAGGTACTGTTTAAATCTGGTTTGTAAAGAAGAGTATAGAGTAGTTCAGTTACTCGTCCACTAGGCGCTTACACAGCTATGAAGCACCAGTGTCAGGATAACTAGTGAGCCTAAGTTACTGATGACAAGGCCTATCTCTTCCGTATTTAAAAGTTTTTTTTTTTTTTTTATTGAGGTGTAATCACAGTAAGATGCACAAATCTTAAGTTTGTATCTTTATGACTACCCCCCCCAGCCCTTGTACCTATATAATCACCCAGATCAGGTTATAGAACATTGCTGTTACCTGAGGAGGTTTCCTTCCAGTCATCATCATACCTGTTCCCCCAAGATGAAGTCACTGTTCTGAATTCTGTCACCATAGATGACTTGGACTAGTGTTTGAACATGGTATCAGTGGACTCACTGTTAGTAGTTTGTGTCTGGATTCTTTCTTTCATTTCAAATATAAACAATTTATTCTCGTAGACAGACATTTGAGATTTTTGTTGTAAAGCTTGGCCGTTAAGAATAAAACAGCATTCTTGAATATGTCTTTTGATGGACATATGCACTCATTTCTCTTGGATGTATGCATAGAGGTAGAATTGCTAGGTCATACAGCAGGTGAGGTATATGTATAGTTTTAGTAGATAACGTCAAAATGGTGTTATCAGTTCTGTTTCTAGCAGTGTATGAGAGTTCCACTAGCTCTGCATTCTTGCCAGTACTTGGTATTAGTGGTCTTCTGAATGCTCTCCATTTAATGGGTGTTTGTTCTATTTCATTGTGGTTTCATTTGCATTTCCTTGAAGAGACATCATGTTGGGCCCTGTTTCTTATGTTTGTTGGCCATTTGTGTGTCCTTCCTGAAGCACCTATTCATGTCTTATCCATTTTATTAATTAGGTTCATTTTTTTCTTATTTGTTGGCATTCTTTACATATTCTGGTTAAGAGTCTCACTGGAGATATAAACTACAACATCTCTTTCTCTGTAGTTTGCCTTTTCACTCTTTTAATGGTACCTTTTTATGAATGAAAATTATTCATTTTGGTGAAGCGTAATTTCCTCATATTTTTTCTTTATGATAACTGCTTTCTTTCAAATTTTATTTTTTTAAAGATTTTACTTATTTGAGAGAGAGCATGGGTGGGGGGGAGGGGCAGAGGGAGAGGGGGAAGCAGACTCTCCACTGAGCAGGGAGCCTGATCTCAGGATCCTGAGCTGAAGGCGGATGCTGAACAGACTGAGCCACCCGGGCACCCCCATGATTAGTGTTTTTTGTGTTCTTTTAAAAAACTCATCACCTTTCCATGTCTTGAGTATTTTGAGGCAGAAAAAATGTGGAGAATCACTGCTGTAGAAAGTGAGCCATAGTCACACTGGACATCATCATATTCTTTTTTGGATTGGCTGTTTGAATGGTGTTCTTGTTGTGATCATATTTATGAAACACTTTAGGCTTTACAGAGCCCTTTATTGTTTGATCTTATTTGATACCATGCAGGAATTCTCTGTGGTACTTAGAGGAGGGCCTGATCCTTTTTGATGGCGGAGAACTTGGGGGTTCAATATCTGCTCTCTGTGGACTAGGGCACCTTCACATTTGCTGTGGTCTTGTTTGCAAGGATGAAGCAATAGAGTGCTGGGTTGAGATCCTGGCTCTGTGACTGTAGACAAGGTACTTAACCTAGTTGAGCCTTGTTTTTTTTTTTTTTTATCTGCCCAATGGGATAATGAGAGTATACCTACCTCATGATGTAGTTGTCAGGATTAAATGAATTAATTTATATATAGTGCTTAGCACAGTATCTGACATACCCTTCTAGGTTATTATTATTATAGTTTTTATTCCATTATGATGTTTGATAGTATCATGATTCTTTGTAGAGCTAGAGAGAGCTCATTTACTCCAGTTCTCTTTCATTGTTTTATATTTTCCCTTTTTCATTGCATACTCCCCTCTGGAGAGTTCTGTTTCTCTTTCCCCCTCTCCATTTTTGTTTTGAAAAGCCAGATGCATTTAAAACATGAACTAAGCTGATGCCCCTAGGAAAGTATGCTGTCTTACAGGGACTGACATGGAAAGTACAGGGTCATAGGGAGTTTTGCTTGCTTTATTTTGTTTTGAGGAATGGTGGCTAGTAGGGACATAGGGAGGGGGAATATGGAAAGAAACTTACTGCTTGATTCTAAAATAAAGTTGACTCTTTCACCTTGGTTCTTGGAAATTCACACATAAGAGATTTATGTAATTACGGTTTAAATTATGATGAAGGAACAGAAACTTGGAGCCGAAGGAGTGTTTTCTAGATGCCCAGAAAGGATAGTACTGTGATCCAGATATACGTACATGAGACTGAGAGAAAGTTACCTGAACTTGGGCCGGGGGGGGGTGTGTGTGTGTGATAGGATTAGAACTAAGCATATTAAATCCACTTTATTCAGTTCTGTACTACCCCCTCCTACAAAAAAGGGGAACAAAACCACATGTGGAAAAGAACTTACATTTTGATATTTCTTCTTGAAATGAAAACAAATCCTGTTGACTTTCCTGGTTACTAAGGCCAAGTGGCCTCTGAGTTTGTCTGAACTTCCTCTTTGTGGCTCAGGGTGGAAATCTCACACTGTGTGCCATGAAGTTGATGTGACATCTGCAGGGTCCCTAAAATCTTGGTATGCTAGGCAACTATTTTGGTCTCACTGTTTGCTGGTGAGCACCTAGCAGGAAATGAACTGGAGACTTGTTGGCTGCTTGACCCTAGTGTATACCAGAGAGTGTCTTTGCTCTTTAGTGTGGGGGGACAGGAAGGATAGGGTGGGGGCCTGTGGGCAGCCCAGGGCAGTGGGTCTCAGACCTAACTGTGCATCAGGATCACCTGGGGAGTTGGTTAAAATCCAAGTTCCCAGGCCCAGCCCAGAAATTCAGATCCAGTAAGGTGGTTTCAGGTTGAGAATCTCCATTTTAAGGGAATGCAGGATTGTGAAGCTGGTGGTCCAGGCACAACACTTTGAGCAACACTCAAAGATTCAGGTCCAGGGACTTGAGAGTTGTGCAGTGGACTGCAGGTTCGTCGACTTTTTTCTCTAAGCCATTAAATCATTGCGCTTGAGGTTGAAGAGTAGAATCAGTCTGCCATGCCTGTAAGCCAAGGGTCAGCTCTGTAGAGCCATGACTGCCAGTAGTCTGCAGACAATGGGTCTGGTGTACTGCATGGGCTCATGGTGGGAAATGGGCATTTGGGTCTGAGAATGAGAATTTCTGAGAAGAGGAGGGAGGGCCCTGGCAGGGACTGTGGAGAAAAGGCTTACTGTATTTTCTGAGTCCTCTCTGTGTTAGGGTGCCACTGCTCAGGATCGCCTTCACAGGAAGGACTGCCTCTGGGGAATTAAAGTCCTCAGGCTCAACACCTTCACTCATCCACCCGCATACCCAGCTACCACCACTATTGTCCACCTCCACCCGTACATACACACAACATATGCATACACACTTACACCACACCCCAGTGCCCCTCGAGTCCCCAACCCCCTTGTACTTAGATGCTTACGTCTTTGGAAATGTTTTTCCTTAAGGGATATTGAGGGATAATCAATGAAAAGAAGTAGATGTAATATTTAAAATACGGTCAACATAAATAGATCTAGCATATTCAATGGAACTGTGGAATAAGTCAGGACCAGTGATTATATGGGTCAGAATGAATAGACTCGTGCTGAACAGGGTATGGCCAGGCCCATATGTGTTTCATTACCATACTGTTCTAGGATCATTAATGGTACCACAGACTAAGATGGCAATAGGACTTCATTCTTGCTCAATGGACCTCTTAATTCCTTTTAGGCTTTCTCAAACTTTAAAGATGAGGATTTAAATCAGTAGTTCTTAACTTTTTGAGCGTTGCAGTCTTTTGTGATAATGGGTGAGGTTGAACTGTTAGTACAGAAAAATATATATACTTTTGGAGATGGAAGTGTGGTTTATAGACTCTCTTGGACCCATCTGTGGACCCTAAGAACTCCTGCTTTAATGAGCACAGAGGGCTTTTAGCCCCATCTCCCAAGGACATTTTCATGGCTCAAGTCTGTATTTGTAGAGTGCCATCTGTAAGGGGAACTCAACAAATACCATTTGGTATTGTGTACAAGCTTTCTGGAGGGTTTGTGTTCAGTTAGAAAGAGCAAGCAGATTTCAATGAGAGGGCGAAAAGAGGTAATGCATGTAAAGAACTTATTACCTGACATGACAAGTATTCACTTAAAAAATGATATACATTTAATATAATTACAAAGCCAGTTACCTTCATAAAACATCTCCATGTCAAAAGGAGTTTAGAAGCCTTAGCTTAGAGGTTAGGAGACCGGGGTGCCCCCAGCTTGGTTGTTTCACCTCTTTTTAATCTTGAGTCCAGTAATTCTGTTCACTTGAATACGTATGAATTGCAATCCTACTGTGAGTAAAATTCTCTGTTAGGCATTTTGGAGAATGGGAATGAATAAGACCTCAAGAAACAAACAGGGTCTAAAGGAATCACTTTAATCATTTGTGTCCCTTAACAGTATGGTAATGAAACACACATGGGCCTGGCCATACCCTGTTCATGTCTGCTCTGTTTTTTCCTAGCTCCCTGAGGGAGATGGGTTTATTGAGGAGCATTCGGGAGAGGACTTTGCTTTCTGAGACTGGAAGGCAGCTCTGAAAAGCTGTGTGTGTGCCTGACTTCGTGTTGTTAATCCCAGCAACACCTCACTCTGTTGTATGGGTGTTTCTTGAAGTTTCACCTTCGTCAAGATCTCTCTACCTGTGGCACTGGGTTCATGTCTGTCTCCTCCTTTCTCCACAGGCCAGGGGTTATCACCATGCAGGCGTTGTCAGAAGAGGACCGGAGGCTCTGGATGGAAGCCATGGATGGCCGGGAGCCTGTAAGTAACAATTCAGGGAAGTAGAACAGAAATATAGGCCGTGAGTTGTTTGTTGCTTCCCAAGTGCAGTGATTTTTGCTCTTGATCTAAAGCCTTGGTTTCTCAAGACCAATGTACCAGAGGGCATCTTTTACTCTTGAACTAACTTTTGTCGATAGTGATATTGCTTCTGTATGGCTGCAGTCCCTGAGCTTTGGCCTCTCAGTCCTTCAGGCCTTTCAGGCTATGTGATACTCCCCTTGGCCAAGGCAACTGTAGTGTCCTTAGGTCTCTTATAGGAGGCAGAGTCTGGCTTACTGAATATTGATGTGTCCATGAAGTAGGATGCAAAGCGTTATCTCAAACCTGTTTGAGTAGGATAAATGATTATAAAAGTGTATACAGATTATGTTGTGTTTTTTTCATCACTTTCTGGATCAGCCTCCCCTTGCCATGGTAGCCCACATCCCATTATACACAGTGGGATTATCAGTGTAGATGGAAGGATTTAAGCCTTCGTAGTGTGATCTGTGCTCCCATTTTCGAGATGTTGGCCTTTGCTGGTTGATGTAGTTTCATGGTTTTTCTGCGTCTTGTGACATGTAAAACTCACATCAGGGCCCTGGTGCTAAAGATCTCAACTGCAGTGTTCAGCAGATATCAGGGTTATAGAAATCCTAGGAGTACATTCTAACCATGTCCCACAAACAAAAGATAAGAAGAATCCACAGTGTCAGAGGGCCAGTAGTTATCACTTGCAAAGGCACAATCCAGAGGGGGGAATGTGTGCAAGGCCATCAGGCCATAGCCTTCATTGAGTACAGAACTCTTTGCATCTAGGTGGGTATCCAGTTATAGATGATTCCAGTTCATTTGTATGTTTCTTTCTCAGCCTACCCAGGTTAGGTGATCTATATTGATGAATGTATCTTTCTACTTAGCTATTTTGTATATAAACCTGAAACTCCATTCCTTCAACTGAGCAGAAACAAATAACTAGTGTTTGGTAATAACATAGAGCACAATTTAAAGAACCATTTAAAGAGTTTGGAACAGCTAAATTTGAATTGAACATTATTCAATCTTAATTCTTCTGCACTACATGTAAGATACCTCTTGTTTTCTCTGAGTACATTGTTACTGATAGACACTCTCAAAGCAGATACACATTTCTATTCTTTTTTTTTTTTTTAACCAGGGTGTTTATTGCGTGACTAATTGTTGAAATCCTTAAGATGAACTGGATGCTGCCACAGCTCCCTTCTTGGGTTGAGGTGGTGTTTCTTTACAGAGTCCAGGCCTGAATCTGCAGTAGACAACTTTTAGGTGCCTGTTTGACCGGTCCCAGTGGTATTTCATCTTTTAGCCTTGGCACTCCAGTTATACTTTCTCTTCCACTTGGCAGGATAGCCACATTTGTCACAGGTCAACTTCTGAAGGTGGTAGGCCTTAGAGCCACAGCGGGGACACAACGTGTGCATCTTAACATGATGCTTTTCAAATGATGACGTCCCCTCTGTCATCTGGTTTCTGCAGCCAAGACCAAAGAGGCTGGAAGAGAAGGCACTATCTGCTATATATATATAGCAGATAGACATTTCTACCATTAGGGTTTTGTGGGCACAATAGCTGCTTGCTGTTAGAGGCCTTTGAAAGCCACTTCCTAGGTTGTCCTTTATCTTTGCTAACATCACCTACCCTTAATTGAGCACTTTTGTGTTTGTAAGTCACAGATTTGGCATATTACATGTCTTAACCCATTTATTCTTCTTAGTACCTTATTAAATAAGTATAATCTTAGGACCTCACAAAATACTACCATTTTACAGTTGAGGAAAGTGAGACTTAGGTTCAATAACTTGGTTGAGTAGCACAGACAGTAAGTGACTATAGTGGTAGGGTGCGGGTTAGGTTGCCATAACAAGGAGACTCCAAAGTATAGTAGCTTAAATAACATAGAAGTTGATTTCTCCAAGCCTGGAAGTGAGCAGTTGGTGCTTTGCAGAGTCATTCTGCCATACTCAACCCATGACTTTCCAGATTGCTCTACTAGTCATTGCTATTTTTCAACCAGATAATGGAGATGAAAGTATCCAGGACCCAGAGGGTGCACATATCATTTCCATTGGCCCTAACATACTTACATTGGCCACATCTGTCTACGGAGGAGGATGGGAAGTCTAGGTTGAACATAGGCAGCCATGGGCTCAGCCAGTACTGGGTATTTTATCACTTCCAGGAAGAAGAAGAGAAAGAAGACTGTAGGGTGGTTGACAGTTTCCATCACAGTGGCAGAGGTAGAATTTGAACCCATGTGAAGCCCTAGACATGTTTGGTTTTTATCATTGATAGAAATGAAATGTGAAATTGCCTTCAGGAATTCTCATTCATTTCCTTTTTATAATACTTTATCTGAGTTTCTTGAATGATTCTTCAATTCTAGGGGAGGAAGTACTCAGGAAGAAAAATCTTGTCAGGGCATACTATTCTTGGAATGGATAAAAACCCCACTGTTTTGGGGTCTCCCCATCCCCCGTAAGCTGCAGTTCTACAACTGCTTCACCAACTCCATTTTAAACCTCCCCCTCCTCCCTCTCCCTACCACTTGATATTTGTTCTCTGTCTGTATGTAATTGGTCTTACTAACCACTTGAGTTTTCCTGCAGATTAACATCTGGCTTTTGCAGATGGAAAGCATGCTGTTGAAAGAAACATCTCCTTGCTCCAGAATGTACACATTAAAACAAGTTTAAACACAAAGTAATGCTGTTTCTAAACATAATATAAAATTATTTCCTCACAGGAACATATAGCTTGCATTGAGAACCACATTTCTGTGTACTTTTAAGTTTCCTGAAGAGAGAGAAACAGACAGTTGATAACTGCACAAATGGCAGGAATATTAGGCTTAATTTTGTCTCCCATTGCTTAGAGCCTCTAGGGAACATTCTTGGAAATACATACCCAGTAGACAATTAGCAGCTCCAGTTTTAATCACACTCTCCCTAATTAGTTAAATCTATCCCCTTAGAAGTTTTGGCTTTGGTAAGGGAGGCAGAAACCTGTTTCCCTAACTGGTCTTGGAGTATTAGCCTTGTATCAGGGAGATTATAATGGCAGCACCTAACTTTTGTTTTTGTACTTAGAGCTCAGTTGTTCTGTGAATCATTATTCGGTGTTGCATCTTTTTTTTTTTTTTGACTAATGGGTTAAGGAGAAATTCTTTTTTTTAAAAATTTTTTATTGTTATGTTAATCACCATACATTACATCATTAGTTTTTGATGTAGCATTCCATGATTCATTGTTTGTGCATAAAACCCAGTGCTCCACGCAGAACGTGCCCTCT